CATCAGTGGTGCTTGTAGAAGCATTAAACACAGTTAGCTAGTGGCTGCTGAACATAATGGAGCGTTTAGCAGCCAAAGACCAAGATCGTTTCTTCAGGAATTAAGGGAACACAAAAGTAGAGCTAAAGGAAAACAAATTTGTCAGATGAAGAGAAAGACATCTTTAACTGAAAGATGATGTCATTCTGTATTTCTTGGATGTGTACCTAAACATCTGTCTGTAATGATACAAGCAGACAGATGTTTATTTTACACATTCGGTTAAAGGCGTCCCTTTAATGAATCAGTGTAACGTGGGAATGTTTCCTCTCTGAGTCTTGCATATGAAGCCTGTTTCTACAACTCCCTAAACAGTCAGGTCCTCCAGGTTTGAGGGCAGGATGATGGAATGATTTGACCCTCATACTAACATTACCTTCCTGTTCTTCCTTCTCTTGTGCACAGCGTCCAACTGCTGTGAAGGGGACATCCTCTTACTGCTGGACTCTTCGGGAAGTGTAGCAAACTACGAGTTCTCGCGCCTGTTGCTCTTCACCGCTGAGCTGCTTCGGCCCTTTTCATTGGGACGTGGGCACGTGAGAGTGGGGCTGCTGCAGGTGGGCACCCAGCCTCACCTAGAGTTCAGCCTGGACGTCCACAGCAGCCAGGACAGTCTGCAGAAAGCCCTGCGGGGTGTGAGCCAGCTGCAGGGAGACACCAACACCGAGGCGGCGCTCAGCGTGGCCCAGCGGCTCCTGACGAAGACGGAGGAGAACGTGCCAAAGGTTCTGCTGTGGCTGACGGACGGAGTGCAGCCCGGAGACGTGGACGGGCCGATGTCGGAGCTGAAGGCGCAGGGCGTTTCTGTGCTGGTTGTGTCGACGGTGCACGGCAACTTCCAGGTGTTGCAGCGCGTGGTGACGCCTCCTCTGGAGTCTCATCTGTACTCAGTGGACATAGACAACATCGACATCATCACAGAGGACCTGAGGGAGGCCATCATCAGTATGTGTGTGTGTGTTTGAAAGGTTTAGCATGATGGAAAGTGTTACAACTCGTATCTTTAGACGTAACAAAAAGTGATTTTCAGGTACAGAATTATTCCCTCCAGGATTTCTAATGTATCTCTCTTTCATCATTTTGTCTTATCTGTAGAAATTATTCGTGCAGAACGGCTGCGCGTGGTTCACTTGACTTCCCACGATGCTGTGCTGCAGTGGCGTCCTGTTCTGAGTGCAGACGCTGGTTTCTACGAACTCTGGTATAGCTCTGTGAGGAAAAGCGACCCAGAGATCAGACGCACTTTATCAGGCGACTCCAGCAGGGCGAAGCTGAGCAACCTGCAGCCTGAGACCACCTACACGGCTTTTCTCCGCCCAGAGACCAACCACGGCCTGTTTAACACACTCTCTGTAAACTTCACCACACTTCCTGGTAAGAAGATTCAAAGGGTGATGTAAAGGGGATGACGGCGATGTGTTTTTATAATGCTGTAATGCTCTGAAAGAAGGACAAATAGGGGGAAGAACAGGTAGAAACAGACGACATAATCAGCTCACCAGAAGGTCCATTCAGCTGAGGAGCTTCTGATCATTTCTCACCATCTTAGCTCATCTGGGAATAGAAGATGTTCACGTTTCCAGTGTTATAAAACTGGAGGCCTATTCATTCAACAGGCTGAGCACTTGTCAAGAGAGCTGTTGATTTTCTTCAGCACAGTTTTCAAGCCATTTGGGAGCTATTTACTGCAGCACCAGGACACCTGTGTGCTGATTTACAGTTTGTAATAACACAACCTCTGGCTTATGCAGCTGCTCAGTAATCTACAGCACACAGGGGAGCTTTTCATTTTAAGTTAGGGGTTCAAACCGGTGGTGTTTGAGCAGGATTAATCAAAATTTGTTCTTGGCGGTCATCTTTCCACTCGTGTCCCTTCTTCCTGCAGATATTCTGAGCCCGGCAGTGGTGTCCTTGTCAGATTCTGGCCCTCGTCAGATCCGTGTCAGCTGGGGTCCCCTGCAGCCAGCTCGCGTACAGAGCTACACGGTGGAGTACGGAGCTATTCCAAGCGGACGCGTCCAAACTGTGACTTTACACAAGCAGAAAAACTCCACTTTACTGACCGGCCTGGAGCCCAGCACTCAGTATCTGGTCACCGTCAGCGCTCTGCACGTGGATGGAAAAGAAAGAGCCATGTCTGTGAGGGCGTGCACTCAGGAAGGTACACCGTCGCACTCATATTTAATGCCTGAGCATTAGTTTGTGTCTTTTATCTTCCAGATAATTCTACGGTTTTTGGCTAAAAGCGTTGCATCTGTTCTGTTTGTCTCTCTTTATTTAAAGTTGACATTTAGAAGTTGCCACTGCGGAGTTGACTTTTGTGAGTCATTTCTACTTGTTGACGCTGGATCAGCTTAACAAGCCTTTGCCTCCTTTCCCACCATGTTTCTCCTGCAGCAGCTCTGCCTGCGCTGGCCGACCTTCAGCTGGCCCCGGTGGCGCGACAGGAGGCGGAGGAGGTGCACGTAGCGTGGAAAGCCTATCAGGAGGGGCTGAAAGGCTACTGGGTCACCTGGGAGAAGGAAAACCTCCACAGCTCAGCCTCAAAGCCCCCCATTTCCACCATCTACCTGCCTCCTACCTCCCGCTCGACGCGACTCACCAACCTCGCGCCAAACAGCCGAGTGTGTGTGTCCCCGGTCTACAGCTCGGGCCGAGGAGACGGGATATGCTGCACTGCAAAGACTCACACAGGTTGGCTGAGCTGAATATACTTTTCCCCCTAATTCCTTCAGTTATGTTCATACAGCTGGTTTGGTACATTACAGGAGGTGTAATTTGCCGTCTCTCTGTCTCTTCTCTTTGACAGATTCCAGCCAGTGGGGTTAACAACCAGACTCTGCAACAATCAGGCAGCTGGAGCAAGAAATGAGTGAAATCGAGCATTTTCAGTGCTGGACACAGCAGATAGCTTGTATAGGACTGAAAAGTACTTTTTAAGTGATCTTGAAATGAAATGTAGTGACAGAAAAACGCTTTATCACATGACACCAGCAAACAATGGCCGAGCAATTACCTCCATAATTAGGTCTTCTTCTCTCCTCCAAGTATAAATATCACCAGCTTTGAGGTAAAGCTGTCCGCTACTGCACATTTGTTTAAACGTTACAGTCAGAGTTAGTCAGAAAGGTAGAGTACACAGTCAATATGAGGAAGTATTATGATTGAATTTAGTGTAGATGCATTTAAAATCTTATTTCTTCATTAAAGCATCTTCAAAGTTAAGTGGACGTCATGCCCCATGTTCCACTGCTTGGTTGTTCTGGTTTTAACTTAAAATAAAA